CTCCCCCAAACAGACCTGTCCTTATTTTGGTTGACTTCTCTCCCTTACGGGCATTGACTCACCGAAGCGAACCTGACCGTGAACACTACATGGCTCTGGCGAGCTCCAATTTTAGACATGTCAGTGGCTACGAACTTGCAGCTCTGTTTACCTGGTCACGTCAGATGGAACCAGTTGAAGCCGGCCTCATCCCAATTGCCGAACTTCGCTTCTGTATCTCCAAAAGATTGAGGTCCCAATGGGACATCCAACTTGATCCCTCGAATCTGGAGTTTCGCTATTGCGACCTGGACGGTGATACATTCCAAGTTTCCAATGATATGACGGTCTTGCAGCTTTTGGAGGCATACCGACCTGAATGGCGACTTCGGCAGTACAACTCCCGCGAATCTTCTTTCCTCATTCCGGGTACCAGACAGCCTTTCGTACTACGTCTGCAATGCTACAAAATTAGCTCCGGTGTGATCCTGCCCTGATACGCTAGCCGGCCAAAAAAGACCATGCTACAGGGTTTCAATTCTCCCTTGACACCCCACCAACACCAAGGATTCTTTGATTTCCATTTTATTTGACTTTGAGCTGTGGCTTCTCCGTCGCAATTGAACCACTTGATTGAGGACTGGACTTCACTTTTATCAATTTTGTGAATATTATCATTGTCGGGATTGGCTTATTTCTGCAATTCTTGATACCTCAGCCGTTGTTGCACTATTTCTCGCATTTGTGACAGTTTCACCCATGGAACACAAACGAGACGCGACCGTGGCGGTCTTGTCTTGGCCTCCGAATCCTACCCGTGGACTCGCTCCTACCAACCCAGTTCAAGTACCAGACGCCCAGACTTCTGCACTATGTCACTCAGGAGCTCCCGACACTACGACCAACCCTACGTCGGCACCTTTGGTAACTGACAGTACGGCACCTACTACGGGTACTATGGCCCATTCTGATACATATTCAGGACCAGCACCTCCTTGCGTCCCGTTTCCAATGGAGTCAAGTTCTGCACACAACTACCTCCATCGTGCTCAATTCTCTTCTCGCGTGGTTCACCAGATCCAATTCAAGGTCATTACCCACTCCAACAACACCAGGGAGCTATTCATTGAAGAAATCCCCTTGCTAGGGCATTCCCGATGTCGTGACCCTGAACACTACTTCTATGGTCTTTCTGGCAACTGGGAGTGGTCCCAGCGTACAGCGGACTATTGGCGACATCATTTCGAGATTCCCCTTGTACACGGCCACCATCCTTTTCACAATGTGCCCATTGAGACGACATCTCCAGCAGATGAACCGAGCCTCACCACCCGGATCCATGAACTAGCCAAGGATCTTTCTGACGCCCTGAAGGCTGCTACGGCATCGGGGGAATTCAATGAGACGTGGGCAATGGTTGAACGCATGAGCTTCCACGATGCTTTCGAAGTCCTTCTACAAGCTCCGAATTCTTCTTCTTCTGACTAAAGTGATCGCCCGTTTGTACCTTAGGTTATTACAGGTTCACTCTCACTGGTGTATTGCCGATTCCGCCAGCGAAGTTCTTCCAAAAAATCCAACCTCGCTATATGCGAGGTGTGTGTGTGTACCATCTGAACAGATGTAAAACTTCTTTTTGGTTTTCACTAATTTGCAGGGGGACGTGGCATACAATCAGGGACCACGTCCGACGAAGCTACCTGATTGTATGGGATACAGAGCCTGATCAGCTCTGCATACCTGCCGTTCGAATTTCCGGAATAGCAAGGGGCCAAGCTAAGAACCCCAAAGACGAACATGATACATGTGCACGGTTGTCACAATCTGAACTTCATGTCGGGTTGCATCAGAACCTTCCTCAGAGCCAGGACGTAGAAAGCAATTTTGTAACATTTTGTTTACATGATCGCCGACACCATCGTCGCCGACAGTTACTTATTGCCTAAGCTTCGCCGAGACATCGCCGATGGTATTATTGCTGGTTTATTCATTCTTTTTGACGTCGATTCTGAACCCGATGACCATTCTGAAGTACTTCTATTATTATTCGTAGGATGCATCGTTAATTTCATTGTTTCGTATCTAATCTGCATGTTTCAGGATTCAGTTCCTGCCGGATCATATAATGATCCATTCTTGTCTAGTGCGTGTATAAAAGCATCTGCGTGTAAAAGCTTCTGTGTGTAAACGCGTCTGTGTGTAAAAGGGTCTGTGTGTGAAAGCGTCTGTGTGTAAAAGCGTCTGTGTGTAAAAGCTTCTGTGTGTAAAAGCGTCTGTGTGTAAAAGCGTCTGTGTGTAAAAGTTTCTGTGTGTAAAAGTCTCTGTGTAAGAGTCTGTGTGTAAACGCCTCTGTGTGTGAAAGTGTGTATGTGTCTGTACAAGAAAAGCGTAGGTGTGTAAAAGCTTCTGTGTGTAAACGTCACTGTGTAAGTGTCTGTGTGTCAAAGCCTCTGTGTGTGAATGTGTGTGTGTGTGTTTGTGTAAAAGAAAAGGGTGTGTGTGTGTGTATAAAAGCTTCAGTGGTTGAAAGCGTCTGTGTGTAACAGTGTCTGTGTGTAAAAGTGTCTGTGTGTAATAGTGTCTGTGTGTAAAAGCGTCTGTGTGTAAAAGCATCTGTGTGTAAAAGCGTTTGTGTGTGAAAGTATGTGTGTGTGTAAAAGCATCTGCGTGTAAAAGCGTCTGTGTGTAAAAGCGTCTGTGTATGACACATGTCATTTCATCTTATTATGGAAAATGGCCCAAAAAAGCTCGGTACCATGATGCCCTGTTTGACACATGTTATTTCATTTTTGTATGGAAAATCCCACAAAAATTGGCCAAAAAGATCGGTACCATGATGCTGTAAATCACACATGTGGCAATACATCACTAGTGAAATGTCTGCAAACGTTTGCACAAAAAAAAGGTCCAATACCATAATGCAGTAAATGACACACGTTATCTCATTTTATTCTGGGAAGATCCCACAGAAACTATCAAAAAAGCTCGGTACCATGATGCCGTGCAGGACACATGTTATTTCATTTTTGCATGGAAAATCCCACATAAATCGCCCAAAAAAGCTCGGTACCATGATGCCCTGTTTGACACATATTATTTCATTTTTGCACGGAAAATCCCACATAAATGGGCCAAAAAGATCGGTACCATGATGCTGTAAATCACACATGTGACAATACTTCACCAGCGAAATGTCTGCAAACGTTTGCAACAGAGCTCGATGCTATCATGTGCTTGATGTCAAAAACAGACAAGTTTGAGTTCAGGAACCAAAAATGTCATTGAGCCACACTCTTCCAAAGCTTCTGTGTGTAAAGGCCTCTGTGCGTGAAAGTGTGTGTGTGTATAAAAGCATCTGCGTGTAAAAGCTACTGTGTGTAAACGCGTCTGTGTGTAAAAGGGTCTGTGTGTGAAAGCGTCTGTGTGTAAAAGCGTCTGTGTGTAAAAGCTTCTGTGTGGAAAAACTTCTGTGTGTAAAAGCGCCTGTGTGAAAAGAATCTGTGTGCAAAAGCGTCTGTTGTGTAAAAGCACCTGTGTGTAAAAGCCTCTGTGTGTAAAAGTGTCTGTGTGTAAAAGCGTCTGTGTGTAAAAGCGTCTGTGTGTAAAAGCTTCTGTGTGGAAAAACTTCTGTGTGTTAAAGCGTCTGTGTGTAAAGAATCTGTGTGTAAAAGCGTCTGTGTGTAAAAGCGCCGGTGTGTAAAAGCCTCTGTGTGTAACAGTGTCTGTGTGTAAAAGCGTCTGTGTGTAAAAGGGTCTGTGTGTAAAAGCGTCTGTGTGTAAAAGTGTCTGTGTGTGTGAAACACGATACGAAGGATGCCATGCAAACTAGCATTTTGTGTTTGTAATATATTGTCTTGACGCTACTTGTCCCGTCTCAATACTAACAACAGAAGACCCTGCTCTCTCTCTCTCTCTATAACCTCTCTCTCTCTCTCTATGTCTCTCTGTGATTGCAAGTCATGTGTCATATGATGCCCTTTTACCAAGCAGCACAGTGCATGTGCATGGGTTGTCACATGTATCCTCTTCTTAATCAATCTTACTTTTCACAACTTATCCCTCCATAGCTCATATACAATTCACCAAGCATTCATCGACTACTTTTTCCGACTACCATACTCAGAGCAGCTTGAAAAACGTCTTTTTCGCTCTCGGGCCAACTGTCGTCTAGTTGAATTATCTATGGGTCTGAGGGGGGCCTGGCCAGGAGACATGGGTCTGAGCTTTTTGTTTTTTTTGTTCTCTTGGCTTTTCCATGGTTTTTAGCCTTTTTTTCGGGCACCTTCAAAAAAACACGCGTTCCTACAATTTACACCACTCCATCCCCCATGAGTACCCCTCCCGAAAGAAAGATAGCAAAGGAAAACGAAACGACCGAATAGAAAAAGGAAGGAAAAACCACGCAACACAAGTCTCCTACGGGCAACGCATCCTTTAGATTCTTTAGATGCTTTTCACTTGGGAAACTTCCTCTCGGCCTCGCGCAGCTACTGGTATCATTTACATTCACACGCAAGTTACTGGTATCATTTACATTTCAAGCCAGTGGAATCTGTAGGCTCCTGAAAAGCCTTTGTACTGGAGAGTTGCCGGTTACAAGCTCGTAAAGGTAGAAACTCCCAGACCTGTCGCGCCGTCATTGTCTGATTCCAGCCTTTGGAAATGCGAGAGTAAGAGAAGTGCTGGCCAAACAGAAGTGCTTTCGATGGGTTCTGTTTGGTCTTGACTCTGCCATCAATGAAAGCTGGCTTTTATGTTACCCAGGCAAGGTATTTCAAAAGTCGAGTTGCTGGAAGGCACTGCGAAACTTCTACGATCAACCTGAGCGATGCTGATGTTTCATCTTTCTGTGTCTGAGACCATGTGTTGCAAACGCGGGCCAAGCAACAAATTTGATGAGAAAATATTTGAGCGGCGCTTTGTAGCCACGCGGTCTGAACATATGGCAGCCCTGTGTTCCTCTTCGCACACCTAGGCACGCACACCCAGCTATACAAGGCTTGCTTACAACTGGCAGAACACTAAAGTTCCGATTCATGGGTCCCAGTCACTGTCATCACAATTTTGCATCGCGATATGTTGATCGCAGCTCGTGCCTTCGTTGAGCAGTTGTCGCGGGCCGTGGCTCGCACAGAACACAGCCCCGGCACATCCAAACAGGATGAGATGTGGCCCCGTAACCTCACAAGGCCGCAAATGCTGTTGCTGTCTTTGCGTCAAGTTGTCTGGATTTCACTTTGCATTGTCCCGAATCAGTTGATTTTCACCCAAGGAAGGAACTCTGGAAACAGCCCGTCCAAACGTATGGGCTCCTGCAAATGGCAGCACAAAACGTTGCTACGTGAACAATAAAGACGACCTGGAATGTTTCAGAACAGCGATAGCAAGGACCACGAAAGCATACCAAATCGAATGCTAATCGAATTGCCAGGACGAGACCACGAGCCTCTCCTTGTTTTGAAACGGAGTTGGAACTAAATTTAAAGTTTCAGAATGCAATCGGTTCAGTTAGAGACTCTGAGCCAAAAGACTGACTTGCATCTGCCTCCAACGACTGCGTTCTTTGCTCAGCAATGCTTGGCCAACCCTGGGAGCGTGCAGAATAAATCACTAGATCAATTCCATACCATGGATCAGTGGGTGATTAGATCAGACCTAGTTTTCATATATATATATGCATTTATAACATGTTTTTACATTATTGTTTCATATATATCCTTTTATTTGTATTTATTTGTGTTTTTTTTGTGTTTTCTTTTGCGTTTTTTGTTTTTGTTTGTTGGCATTTGTTTTTTCATGTGTTTTCCCGAATGCGTAGCAAGGGTTCCCGTTTCACTCTGGGGGTCTTGGGGTTGAGGGTGTGTTCGCCCGACGTTGCCGAACCGTTCGCAACCGTTCGCAACCGTTCGCGTGAGGACCGTATGGCCGTGCCTATAGGAAGTTCTGCAGAGGTGGTCCGTTTTGGACGTTTCCAACGCGTCGTTGCTTCGTTTCGCGTGGCAGGCGTGGCACTTTGTGACATTCAGACGTGTTTTGCAACGTGTCGAAAATCGTTTTGCGTGGCAGGCGCAATACTTTTGCGACGTTTTTAGACGATATGTTGCATTTTTCGTGGCAGGCGCAGCACTTTGGACGCGTCCATCGTCATTGTGCGTGGCAGGCGCAGCACTTTAGACGTGTCGTGTTGGCTGTTTTTCGCAAATCGCATTGGCAAGGCTACGTCAAGTGGCGACAAGGTGCAAATTCCGTGGCAGGCGTGGCATTTTCTGATATGTGCTGAAAATTGACGGAAGCTTCGCACGAAACATCGATTTTGAGGTTGCAAGATTTCGATCTTCCTAGGAAAACTCGTGGGAAAACGTCGATTTTCAAGCTACAAAGTGTGAAAATTAGAGGAAGTCTCGCACGAAATGCTCGTTTTGGTGCTCCCACTCGAGTCTCTGGCTTTCCTGTGGCGTCGCCGTGTCCATGGGGGAAGCTGCAAAAAACGTCCTTTAGGGCTGTGTCAAATTGTGAACTTTGGCGGAAGTCTCGCACGAAATGCTGCTCTCACGTGTCTCGTCTCGAGTCTCTGGTTGTCCTGTGGCCTCGCCGTGTCTATAGGGGAAGCTGCAAAACCTGTCCTTTTGGCATGTTTCCAAGCAGGTTGTCATGTCGTTTTGCGTGGCAGGCGTGACGCATTGTGACATTCCCACCTGTTTGATAAAGTGTACCTAGTGTCAAAATTGGAGGAAGTTTCGCACAAAATGCTGGTTTTGATGTTCCTGCGTGTCTTGTGTCGAGTTCCTGGTTTTCCTGTGGTGTCGCGGTGTCTATGGGGGGAGCTGCAAAACGTCTCTTTTTCGAATGTTTACAAGCAGGTTCTCATGTTCTTTGGCGTGGTAGTTGTGTTTGTACAGGTCTCTGGTTGTCCTGTGGCCTCGCCGTGTCTATAGGGGAAGCTGCAAAACCTGTCCTTTTGGCATGTTTCCAAGCAGGTTGTCATGTCGTTTTGCATGGCAGGCGTGACGCATTGTGACATTCCCACCTGTTTGATAAAGTGTACCTAGTGTCAAAATTGGAGGAAGTTTCGCACAAAATGCTGGTTTTGATGTTCCTGCGTGTCTTGTGTCGAGTCCCTGGTTTTCCTGTGGTGTCGCGGTGTCTATGGGTGGAGCTGCAAAACGTCTCTTTTTCGAATGTTTACAAGCAGTTCTCATGTTCTTTTGCGTGGTAGTTGTGTTTGTACAGATATTGCAAGACTGCGATTATGTTGAAAGTGGAAAGTTGTTGTCTGGGCTCAAGCAGATTTCGCGCACTGTGGTCTTTATGTTCTCGGTTCGACGTTAGCAAACATTTCGTCTGTGTAGAATTGCAAGAGGGGACCGAGCAGTCACAATTCATGACAGGGGGGGTTGTAGAGATAGTGCAAGACGGAGATTTTCAAATGTTTGTTGCATATATCCAAGCAAATGTTTCATGTGTGGAAGTGTTGCTGATTCAGGCATGAAGTGTGAAAGCGACAGTGAAATGGTCATGGTTGAGTTGTTTTCAGCTTTCTTATTCCCGAATGCGTAGCAAGGGTTCCCGTTTCACTCTGGGGGTCTGGGGGTTGAGGGTGTGTTCGCCCGACGTTGCCGAACCGTTCGCAACCGTTCGCAACCGTCCGCAACCGCGCGCGTGAGGACCGTATGGCCGTGCCTATAGGAAGTTCTGCAGAGGCGGTCCGTTTTGGACGTTTCCAACGTGTCGTTGCTTCGTTTCGCGTGGCAGGCGTGGCACTTTGTGACATTCAGACGTGTTTTGCAACGTGTCGAAAATCGTTTTGCGTGGCAGGCGCAATACTTTTGCGACGTTTTTAGACGATATGTTGCATTTTTCGTGGCAGGCGCAGCACTATAACTAGTTTTTCACCCTTTAGCCCTTTTAAAACCTTTTTCCAATAATATGAATGAAGCTATCCAACAATGCAACCAAAAAAATTTTGCAAGACCGTTTCGCTAACTTTTCTAAAATTTTTAAACTTTTTGTAACTGCTGATAACTTTTTTATAACTTTTTATAACTTATGATAACTTTTCCTAAATACTTATGTTAAGTCTTTTAACATAGTTATGAAAAGATAACATACAGATAAGATACTTCTGATAAGTTCGTTAAGAACTTACATTTTACCTAAACGTTTACAACCTCACGTAGCCGGCTAGCTGATGTTACAACTTACTTATCAAAAGCTATGAAACTTTACATACTTGCAAGCAGGTTATAGACATGTTATAGAAGGCTTATATACATGTTATAACTCATATAAATTTGTAAACTCACATAACTTTAATAAGCGTACAGTCTTCGTGTGGTCCGTTCTCAACACCAACTTCATCTTCATCAGCTTAATCAACTTCGGGATCATCACCAACGTCTGGTACTCGATCATCATCGTCATCTCCGTCCCCATCCTGACCAGGGACTTCATCAACGCGAACATCTTCATCGTCAGGTCCTTCATCGCGGATGGACGGTTCATAACCATCGTCATCATCGAGTTCTTCGCCAGCTGCGGCAGGAGCTGTCTTTCGCTTCGATTTTCTCTTTTTCTTCTTAGTCTTCCTCGGGAGGTTCGTTGGTCCGCCGACGTACGTACCAACTCCATCATCCGATTCCGACATTTCATCACCACTTTCACCATCGAGAAATATGGTCCTCGATGCGGTGTCGTTGCCCATGAGACCCAACACTTTCATAACCAACTCAGCCTCATGATCAGGCGACGGCCTATAGTCCTTCGCCCCGAGGTAGACATAAGGTATGAGATCATGAACTTCCATCTTGATCTTGTCACCTTTGGAGTTGATCATATATGGCTCCCTTCCACTGGGCCAGACGCAGGTGTAACCTTGTTCCATGCATCGCTTCCCCAATGACAACACAACACTGATGGAGCGTCTTCCAACACATGTGCCCTTGCAGGCTCATCAAATGTGTCAAATTCTAAATCCACCATAGTAGATGTTGAATTCTAAATCCACCATAGTAGATGTTGAAGTGATGCCATTCGCCGTGTGGAAGTTAACTCTTGAACTCTCATATGTGTCAATGTCCATCCTATCAACCCTAGTTGATGAAATGAGATCATGACCACTCCCAGAGTCAATAATGAAACGCCTATCCTTGAGCTCGATCGGCATTGTGATGCACATGACGTTGTCACAGCGTCCATATTTTCCAGGACCATGAGGGATAATCTCCTCATAGCACATCTCTGCCCGCAGGTTGTCATCCAAGTGTTCAGTAGTATTCATCTTAAGCTTGATGTCATTCTTGGGACCGACCCAAGACAATGTGCACCTCGTCAACGTCTGAGAACTCATAGAGATCGTCCATAAGAATGCCAATAACGCGTGCTCTAGTCATACCCAACTTGGCTTGTAATACCCATTGTTGATCACTCATGAAGTCTTGGGTAGATCTGCACGTCAAGGCTTGTTTCTGAGCCCGTGACAGTCGTCTCTTGGGTCTTTGGTCTGAGCATTGCACGAAGTCATACTTCTGGTACTCGAAGATCTCGTCGTGATAGAGGAACTGAATGTTCTTCTTCACTTTCTTCTCGTCCGGCGTTGCACTAACGATGTAGTCATCATCGTATTCGCGGATCAATGCAGGAGTGGCCTTGGCATCTTTGGAGCTAGTAGAGGGTGCAGCTTTCTTGCCCTTCATGTTGGGGTCGTGTTTGAACGTACATTTGTCACCCTTTTTGCAGTCTCCTTTCAGCCATCCGTAGCAATTGATCACCCTTTCCACCAGGGGTCTGCGATCTCCTCGGTGTGGATGATCGACCATTCTTACCTTTTCCATCCTTCTTCCTCTTGTCCCAGTGATACTGAGAATGACTGTATCGACATTTGTCACCTTGCTTACAGTTTCCCTTGTTGAAATGGAAATGACAAAATGTCTTCGAAGGATCCTTGGTAGAAGGTGATCCCGATCTCGCCTTACCCTTGCCTTTACCGTGACTCTTCGGAGTGCCGGAAAGGAGAGCTGGCGCTCCAGGTTGGTGCCGCAGGCTTAGAAGCAGGTGTAGTAGGCTTGCCCAGATTGGCATGGTCTGTAGCGAACTTGTCTCTGGCGGCCATGTTCTTTTCCTCACGCACACGCGCAATGTGCTTCTTCATAATCTCCAAGAGTTCTTTGTAGGTTTTCTTCTTGTCATCATTATCACTACCCTTGAAGATGGTGAGATCAACATGTAACGCTTGAGATCCGTCGGTCTTCCTCAAGAGGTGATCTCGTAGCGTGTTATCAGATGGGATATCCTCCGCCTTCATGTGGGCAATGATTTCAAGCCAAGCATTGAGGAACTTGTCCATCTCTTTGTCACCACGATATCGCAGTTTGTAGATGTGACTAGCATTGAACAAAACTTCATCCTTAGATGTCGTTCTGAAATGATCAAGAACCATCGCTAAGATCTCCCTGCCCACTAAAAGAAGTTCCCTTCTCTTCCAAGCACCTGACTCCTTTGTCTTATTCGTACCTTCACTTCGGATGCCACCTCACCGGCCGCATCCACCATGTTCTGCAAGGCACTTGACAGCTTGGAGTCGATGGACTGGAATCGAAAGTCACCTGAGTCAGCGAGACTTGCATATTCTGGATCTGGTAGTAGAGCAGGCGACAGCCATGTCCTCCATGATGCAGTGTCGGGGCTTCCAGACGCGACACACACACACACACACACACGCACGCACGCACGCACGCACGCACGCACGCACGCACGCACGCACGCACGCACGCACAGCTTGCACGACATTCGATCGCCACACATCAAGGTCCTGACATTTCGGCCAAGGCTTCACGACGACTTTTTCGTGCCCTTTTCTCGAGATGCGTGTGACCCAATCTTTCCCTTCTTGTCCAACATCACTGTTGGCCAAGCTATCATGGTTGCCATCTTTGCGATCCCAAAGTCCAGGTGGGTTGTCAGGAACTGGGTCGCAGTCGGGACCGTTGCTTCCTTTCAAGGTTTCCTGACCTTCTTCAACTTGTTGAAGCCAACTCTGGTACTCTTTCATCTCGTCGTAATGTTGTTGTGCTCGCTCTTCTGCCATCCGGAGTTTCTCACGAAGATCATCCATCTCAATGATGTTCTGGCCCACACTGTTGTTGCCCACACTTGGTGGAGGTGGGACAGGTGGTCCGAGATGTCTAGTCCAAGATGTCGCCTTGGGAGTCCCAGTGATCATAGTATCAGAAGCTGGGAATGTTGGAGTGTTGGCCTTGGCCGCTGGAGTCGCCGAAGCTAGGAATGTAAAGGCAAATTCACTGGTGATGCTGGTGTAGGCGTCATAGGTACTGCAGGATGGGAAGAGGATGCCAATGTCGACATAGCCTTTCGAGCCTCTCGTAGGGATAAGCTCAAGTCGGCATTCTTCCTTATTGCAGAGTCACGCTCTTTACGCACCAACTGATGCATCTTCTTCCATCTATCTGCTTCCTCTTCCTCAGCGTTCAGCAGCGTCTCAGTCAACTGTGGTTTGCACTCAATGCCTTCCTGTAATCGATCAATCTCGAGGTTTGCCTTGTGTACTTCTTCCTTCAAGTCCTCGATCACTTTGGCATTGGCATCATCGTCGCCAATGGGAATGCGGGATCCAAGGAGGTCCACAATCCGTGCACGTAATTGCTTGTTCATGTCGAGCAATCCCACGTTCTCATCCATAAATTCCCCTTTGATGGCTTCCAAGCAGTTCTCTCTATCCTTGAATGCTCGAAGTTCTACATCCTTGAACTCCCTGAACTCTGCTCGTTCATCAAAGAATCGCTTCTCATACCACTCCTTGTGCGAAATCTCATTCTCATGGAGTTTCTGAAGATGGTTGATCTTGTTCGTCAGACTAAATCTCTCCATCTCGTGCTCCTTGTCCTTGTTACTTGACAGCCATTTCTTGTAGTTGTTCGTACCTCTCTTTGGCCGTATGGCCACGGGCATCAATGATCTTGTCCTTCTCCGTCAGGCTCTCGGCGAGCTCATAGATGGCAATCCGCATCCCCGCAACACTTCCATTTCTTGTCTGTTAGCAGGTTCCCTATCAGTGATATATTGTGCACATGCTTCACGAAATTGTAGTCCATTTTGACGAAACACTTCGGCTTCTGCCTCTGACTGTTCATGTTGTTCACGTATGTGCCGTGATGCAATGTCCAATTCAGAATGATACCGTCTCCTCATAGCCAAGACGATGTGAGCTGCGCCTGCTTCTGCGAGTTCACCACGTGCCTCCAGCTCGATGATTCTTCTCGTTGAGCCTTCGTCCATGGTGTTTGCCTCAGCGATGGCTTGTGACTGCTCGTCCAGTAGGTGATATGCATTGGTGAGGGATCGTCTCATGTATTCCATTTCAGAATTGACATGCTCTTGGTATTCTTCATAGTGTTGGTGTGAATAGACCTAAACATTGCTGACCAGTTGATCACGATGAGATACGATGAGTGAGGGCGTCTTGATACAATCTATAACCCTATTCTCCAACTCAGTCCTGGCTTGTTCACTTCGTTCCAACTTGTCGTTCACATGTTGTAGTTGACGTCGAAGACGTGCCTCGCTCTCGTTCCTAGCAGCGCTTCCTGATGACTTCCGCTTGGATGATGTTGCAGACTTGCTCACATCACCCTTGGACAAGGTCGCAGACTTGCTTACCTCGTCCGTCTGTCGGTCATCAGTTTTTGCTCTAGGAGACCTTCCAGTGCGATTCGATCTTGCCGACGTCGATCTCCTGGCACTTCCTCGATGGGAACTAGCATTGCTAACCATCGCAAAGCTGTTTGAAGATGCTCCGCTTCCAGGCATTAGGTACGATGTTGTACCTCCACCTCCGCTCTCAGCGGAGCCCGGCGTGTCGATGATTGGCGCCGGTGCTCCTGGTGCAAAGGAAAAGTTTGTCTCATTGCTGCTCGATTGGGGCTTTTGGGACATTGTTCCGACTTCACTGCAATTACTTCCGTTTACCACTGTCCAACGACTTGTAGTAGGTCAAGTAGTGCAGGATGCCCTTGAAAATATCCGAGCCGATGACCTTTCCGCCCACCGGAGTGGGGAGATCAATCAATCGTGTAGGTGTCTTTGTCCAACACCTCACCGTAGGTCTCTACAAGGATATAGTTACAGTTGGGACCACCGTACGCCCTGGCTAGAACGTGCAGCTGATAACCTGTGAATCGGTTCTGCTATGTCCAATCTTCTCGTTCAATGTGGTAGTCGTTAATGGTGGTCTCTGGACTTGTCCCGCAGCGGTTTCCCTCAGCAGTATGGCGTTCCTTTTTCACTATGCGAGCGTGGTGCGTCTTGAGCCAAAGGTCAGCGTTGGGTGAATGATGGCTGACCTGGCTGTTACCAGGTGGAGTATTGTCTATGTCCCTTTCACATATATGTATCATACATACATATATATATATATTATTCAGAAGCTTCAACATCTTCAAAACATTTATTCAAAGCGAAAGCATTTTGAACCTCCGAAGAATGAGTTTGCTCAGGAATGCTTGGCCAACCCTGGAAACAGTGTGCAAGTTGAAAAAAGGAACAAAAAACTCGCAAGTGCGGCAAGATGTACAAGATGTGCATTTCAACAACCAATGAATGTCCCTTATGAACGTGTTCATAAAAAACGAACAATATCGATCAGTCTCCTTAATCAGATTGGATCTGCTATTCATATTTATCTTATAATTACTGTTTTTTCGTTGCATAATCCTCTCTGTAGCCCGGCAGTCCTTGTCATCATCCGAATCCTGGTGAAGAACGGCGTGAACGGAGAACTTTTGAATTACAAGTCCCGTCCTCGAGAAGGTCGTCGGGCGATGGCGGTGCTGTCTGGCCAGATAGCCTGAAATGCCGAAATATGCTTGAAAATGCTTGAAAGGCACGTTGACACTTGAAATCTCCAATGCTGAAACACTTCTGCGAAGAAGTGAACTTGGCCTGATGGCATTCTGGGGAGGTGTCCCCACCTCTGGTTCTTGGTCGGGGCTGCTACAATGAAATCTTCTGACCTCGAGTTTGAACTTTATTCCGACTGTTACCTTTGCTGAACATTTCAGCTATTAGCAAAAACTTTCAATCTCGTTTCGTTTGCAATCCTTACAGCTCACAATTCTGACCTCTGAGGCTCAACCCCGTCGGAAGCGCTCCAACAAAGTCACCGGTGGCCTGTTGATCCGCACAAGATGCAGCAAAAAAGTGGTCAACGACTTGAAACCGTTTGCACCCAGACTTTGATCAGCAGAAACCGCTGCTCTGATAGAATCTTTCCTCAGTTGTCAACTTGTTCACGATACAGTTGTCAAGTTGGACTGTGCATGAGCCGTTGAGACAACGATGTTGTTTTGCACCATGTTGCATCGACGTGAACATGCAAGAAAAAGCTTGAACGACAGGACCAGCCTCGCACATTGCAAGCGGATTTGTCATGAATCTCACGAAGGAGCCTATAGACACGGACCAATTTCAAAGAAGACACGGGTGCCAATGCCCACTACCTTGACAGAAGACCGTACTGAGCCACCGGCCGAAATCAAAAAGCGGAGACACCACAGAGGTTTCCTCCTTGAAGCAACTTTGGATTGCCAACTGAAGTCAAAACTGTTGTACGTATGTATAACATGTAATATGTAGATCATATAACATGTAATATATAATATTCCATAATTAAGTTGATTCTAAGTTGATTCTAAGTTGATTCTAAGTTGATTCTAATTTAAGAAAAAACGCAAAGTCTGTGAAGTAACACTCCGGGCAAATTCAGAGAAGTATAGAGGAGGTCCATGGTTGTTGGTATCTCTGCGCCCAATGTGGATGCACCCGAAAAGAGTCACATGCAACAAGTCCCCTGACAGCACAAGCCGAATTCAACTCAATAGCAAGATGAAACGTCAAGGAATGCCCAACTGGCTCACACGTTCATCCCCAAAGGACAAAGCACGGCATCTTGCCGCACTATTTCCACTCAGCCCTGCGCATCTGCCGCCCTTCCATACCCAGCCTCCATCGTTTCAAGTTCCTGGAAAGACAACTCACAAAGCAGCGATCTTCTGAAGGCAGACTTCACAGGTGATCATCTCCTCCGACATGGTTGAAGTCTCCGACACGTTTGTCGTCGAAACATCTGAACGCCTGACAAACATCTGACAAAAATGACAAAAACATCTGCCAAAACTGCGCATCTCAAATCAATAGAACCTCGCCAATCTCTCAAACAGTTTCAAACAATTTCAAGTTTTTGCTGACAGGGCCTCCCGTTGTGCAGAGCACCGCGGTTGGCCTGTGACGTGACATGACTCGACTGGTCAGGTCTAAACAATCAGTTTGACGACACAATGAAAAATCTAAACAAGCAAAAACATGATGAAAACAACTCAACGCATTGCCCTTCTAAAAGGAATGCGTTCTGCATTACATTCATGATCATACTGGATTAATCAGATCTAGCTGTTTCAAGTTGGCTATTTTTGAGAAGCTACGCCAAGGCCTTCTGGACGAGTTCAGGTCCATCTTTGATCTCAATCTGCGACATGGCCTGGACGAGACGTTGCAGGAACTTATCCGGTTTATAATCAGATCAGCAGAAACGGATTTTCTACATAAACTTTCAGTCCCGCCTCCTTCTTGTCAGCAATGAAACTGTTCCAATACTTGTCCATCATGTTTATGGCATCCTCTCCAGATGTAAAGCAAAAACAGTACAGAGTATTGAATGAATATTGTCAGCCCCATGGGGAACGTCATCTGTGCATCATGTTCCGGGATGGGTAACGGCTCTTTCTATCCTTCTCATCGTATCTTTCTCCAATCAAAACAAACAAAGCAACCAAAGAAGTGCTGCGTCCTCTGAAAGAATCGAAGCTGGACTGGAACTGACTGAGTCCAATGAGACTCTGCCTGGCCTGTAGCCGTGTGGAAAGGAAGTCAGGGTTACGGTTGATCCAAGCACTGAACAATTCAACAGATCTGCTTAACCCAGCCTCGCTGCTCCGTGTGAGGGGGCCCCCTGACAGCACAAGCCGAATTCAACTCAATAGCAAGATGAAACGTCAAGGAATGCCCAACTGGCTCACACGTTCATCCCCAAAGGACAAAGCACGGCATCTTGCCGCACTATTTCCACTCAGCCCTGCGCATCTGCCGCCCTTCCATACCCAGCCTCCATCGTTTCAAGTTCCTGGAAAGACAACTCACAAAGCAGCGATCTTCTGAAGGCAGACTTCACAGGTGATCATCTCCTCCGACATGGTTGAAGTCTCCGACACGTTTGTCGTCGAAACATCTGAACGCCTGACAAACATCTGACAAAAATGACAAAAACATCTGCCAAAACTGCGCATCTCAAATCAATAGAACCTCGCCAATCTCTCAAACAGTTTCAAACAATTTCAAGTTTTTGCTGACAGGGCCTCCCGTTGTGCAGAGCACCGCGGTTGGCCTGTGACGTGACATGACTCGACTGGTCAGGTCTAAACAATCAGTTTGACGACACAAAAAAAAATCTAAACAAGCAAAAACATGATGAAAACAACTCAACGCATTGCCCTTCTAAAAGGAATGCGTTCTGCATTACATTCATGATCATACTGGATTAATCAGATCTAGCTGTTTCAAGTTGGCTATTTTTGAGAAGCTACGCCAAGGCCTTCTGGACGAGTTCAGGTCCATCTTTGATCTCAATCTGCGACATGGCCTGGACGAGACATTGAAATGACTTTACGTAACCATTTTGTAGTGAAAACGGGCTGCAATGAAAAATCATGATTCGCTACTAAATGGTTTCCGGAAATTTCACTCTAAATCTTTGGCTCACTTTCCGGGCCCAGGTCATAGCATTTGCCGAGCACAAGTAAATACAACCTTGGGATTTCCATCGGATTCCAAGAATTGACAATTGACCTTTCAATAGGTTTTCTACTACGATGCTCAAAGCTATGGGGCAACAAAAACGATCTAAGCGCACAACTTCAAATTCAATTGATCGGTTTTAAACCAAATCTGTCCCATTTTTCCTTCTTGAAGTCTCTATTAAAAAAAAAACATTTTTTTCGAACTTTTTGGGGCTTATCTGGAGGGAGACGCAGTAGGTTCTACAAAAGGTTGTGCACGCGTGTGTCACTACAAAATGCAGCGCGTGACAAAAGTAATCCAGAAACTAGATCCCTGTGTGCATTCTGCAGGGTAGTTGTGCCCACTCATCCGTTTGCAAACACAGCCTTATGCTGCTTGAATCTGAACCAACCCCCCTGCTACAAAATGTAATTGGGGTTTTTGATGGTGGATCAAAAGCTAATGTGGGTCACTACAAAATCTTTACGCAAACGGGTTGCAGTGAAAATTCATGATTCTCTACTAAAATGGTTTCTAGAAATTTCACTCTAAATGTTTGGTTTACTTTCCGGGGCCCAGGTCATAGGGAACTATTAAGGGAAAGTAGTCCCCATTTAATCAACACTAACCATATTATACTATATTATACTCCAGGTACTCCCATTATTGTATAGATAGTCCCCTTTAAAATTGTTCACGCCCAAACAACTTTTATGGGAACACCTCTTTTTGTAATAACAAATGGTTTGCCCCTTTTTGTAGCAAGGGACATCTTAGCCAGATATGGGGTTTATAGGCGGGATAGTTTTAATGGGAAGACCTCGTATAAACTTATTTCAGTGGCATATTCCATGATTTTTTACCCCAAACTTCCTCAAAAAACGACATGGGAAAATACGATGGCCAAGCATGTCCGGCCATCGTATTTTCCCATATGGTATATTTGCGGTACAATAAGCCAAATCATCACTGACCTATGGAAAGTAATCCCCATTTCATCAACACTAACCATATTATACTATATTACACTCCCATTCTTGTATAGATAGTCCCCTTTAAAATTGTTCACGCCCAAACAACTTTTATGGGAACACCTCTTTTTGTAATAACAAATGGTTTGCCCTTTTTTGTAGCAAGGTTTATTTTAGCCAGATATGGGGTTTATAGGCGGGATAGTTTTAATGGGAAGACCTCGTATAAATTATTTCAGTGCCATATTCCATAGTATCTGGGGAAAAAATGTATATTGGCATATCTTGGCGGTATAATAGGCAAAAACACCATTTAATCATAACTAACCCACACAAGGGATGGTAAGAAGGATGTGGATTGGGCCAAACAACTTTTACGGGAATAGTAACACATGGTTTGCTCTTTTTGTAGCAAGGGACATTTTATCCAGATATGGGGTTTACAGGTGGGATAGTTATAAGTTATAATGGGAAGATTTCGCATAAAATTTTTCGGGCCATATTCCATAGTATCTTGGATGAATAAATGGTAAATTGGCATATCTTGGCGGTATTATAGGCAAAAACACAATTTAATCATAACTAACTTACACATGGAATGGCAAGAAGGATGCGGAATGGTGTTTTATGGGGTGCCACTTGTTGATGTTGTTTTTGAGAGGTTTTGATGGCGCCACTGGATGGCTTAGAAAATAAAGCTTCCTGTTGCTAGAGCGAGGTTCTTCCCACATTTCGACGTTTGATTATGCGCGCGGGCCGAGCATGACTGGTACGACACAACACATCCCAAAATAAATCACTACAAAATGCGTTTCCGATTTTCAAGTGCCAAATGGAACGCCGCTACAAGATACAGTGCACACCTTTTTACTACAAAAACTGGTGCACGGGTCCATTTTTTTTGCTTGAATTCTCCACGAAACAGGGGATGGTACCAAGCACGTGTTCACCCTTTTAGTGGTGGAAATGGTAAGGGGGATCAAAATGCATCAAAATGACAATTCTGACGATGACGATTCCAACGATGACGACGGCACGGCGACAATGATTAGGCAAAATTTTACACAAGAAATCAAAACGTAAATCTACCACGTCCAGGCACAAGCTCCTATCCCAACATTCAAAAGTCAGATCTTGGATCAGAACCACCTAGGACCACCTAAAATCGCCTAGAACAAAAAATCAGATGTATCCAAGAAAAAAGGCCTGGTCCCTGATGTTAGCAACAAACACATGAGCAAGTTTGGATGAAACGATTAACAAAAAACAAAATCAAAAACAAAAACCGTCAAATCCTGGCAGTTCTCCCATCGGTCGACCTCCAAAGGTTTGGGAGGGTTCGAGGCCAAGACATCGGCCGCGAGGCCAAACCTGCGCTATGGGAGCACTCGCTGCCGGACAGCCGGTCACATTTTTTGTGCTGAAAGCTATTTCTATATGTAAAATAGTTATATTACCATTTGACTTCATTCACAAAATAATGTGAAATCACATGTTCTCGCAAAACAACAGCACTGGGTGATCAGTTGAAAAGCAAAAAAAAGGTTCAAAGGTGATGTTGGGACATGGCCGTCGGTGGGAAGCTGTCCTTGTAGTCACTAGCCATTGAAGATCTAGATGTCATGACAATCATAGATCCAGGAATAATTAGGCTGTTTCTATCAAACCTGTTGACGACATATCTATGAATGGTTCATAAATGATCGAAGGAAGTTTAGAAGTGAAACTTCCGACAATATGGACAGTTGAAAAGCAGAGGTGAGAAGAGTCAGAAGAGAAAAGATCAGAAGAGAGAAGATCAGAAGAGAAAGAGTCAGAAGAAAGAAGATGCACATGCGCGAAAAGGTAGGAAAGTCGCGATTCACTGTGTTTTTCCAATGATTTGTGGCTCCGGAGGGTCGAAAAGTAGGCTCGCTAAAGCGGCGGGTGCGGAGCCAGCTGGCCAAATGAGAGATGAAAAAGTGCACGCCGTTGTGGCGCGAAGCACATTTCCAAGTCAAAATGTACAAAACACATCAGGTTCGGACCACTTTTGGAAGTTCAGATGTCGAAAAAGTGCACGCCATTGTGGCGCGAAGCACATTTCGAAGTCAAAATGTACAAAACACACCAATGTCGGACCACTTTTGGAAGTTGAGATGTCGAAAAAGTGCACGCCGTTGTGGCGGTAAACACATTTCGAAGTCAAAATGTACAAAACACACCAGCTTCGGACCACTTTTGGAAGTTGAGATATCGAAAAAGTGCACGCCGTTGTGGCGCGAAGCACATTTCCAAGTCAAAATGTACAAAACACACCATTCTCGGACCACTTTTGGAAGTTGAGATGTCGAAAAAGTGCACGCCGTTGTGGCGCGAAGCACATTTCGAAGTCAAAATGTATAAAGCACACCATGTTCGGACCACTTTTGGAGGCTCAGATGTCGAGTTTCGAAAAAGTGCACGCCGTTGTGGCGCGAAGCACATTTCGAAGTCAAAATGTACAAAACACCAGGGTTTCAGACAACTTTTGGAGGTTCAGATGGCGCTTCGCTTCGCTTCGCTTCATTACACTACACTACATTACTCTACACTACACTCCACTACATTATATTACATTGCACTACATTCCACAACACTACAACTACAACTACACAACTACACTAAATTACACTCCACTCCACTCCACTACACTAAATTACACTCCACTCCACTCCACTCCACTAAATTACAGTACAGTACACTACACTACACTCCACTACACTCCACTACATTACACTACACTCCACTACACTCCAGCACACTAAATTACACTTCACTACACTACATTCCACTACATTCCACAACACTACGCTACAACTACAACTACACAACCACACCCCACTACACTAAATTACAGCACACTACACTACATTACACTACGCTACACTCCACTACACTACATTACACTACACTACCTTCCACTACACTTCACTACATTACACTACAATACATTCCACTCCACGACAACTTCAGCTACAACTACACAACTACACTCCACTACACTCCACTACGCTCAATTACACTACACTATACACAACCTTCCACTACACTTCCCTACATTACACTACAATACACTCCACAACACTGCAACTACAACTACACCAGTACACTCCACTACACTAAATTACACTACACTACATTACACTACACTCCACTACACTACAATAAATTACACTACGCTACACTACATTACACTACACTCCACTACACTCCAGTACACTAAATTACACTTCACTACACTACACTGCGTTACACTACACTACACTCCACTACACTACATTACACTACGCTACACTACCTTTCACTACACTACACTACACTACATTACACTACACTACATACACTGACATTACACTACAACTACAATGACAACTACAATTACACAACTACACAACTACACTCCACTACACTCCAATACACTGAATTACACTACACTACATTACACTACACTACATTCCACTACACGTCACTCCACTACACTACACTACATTACACTGAATGACACTGCACCACAGATAGACAGGTAGACAGATAGATAGATAGATAGATAGGTAGGTAGGTAGGTCGGTAGTCAAAGAAAGAGAGAGAAAGAGAGGAGATCTCAAGCACCTTTCGGTCCATCAGTGGATTCGCTCTGCCATCCCTGATTCACAACAACCAAGCTCTCCTATAGGTTTTCTATTTTTGAAACTTCCGCCACCGCCTTGTGCGGTACTACTGGTATAAATGTGTATGTCGTTAGTATTGCGATGCTTTGCTAGTCAAGGTTGCTCTCATGGATGATTACGACCCAGCATCCCCCTGTGATATTCACCGGGTATTCACCTTGAACGCTGCCCCAGTAAGATCAAAATTTTGGCCACGTTCT